TTTTTTTTTTTTAATCTACTGACAAGTTGCTCTAGTAACCCAAAGAAGTGAAGGAGAAAGCAACTGCCTCACCGCCCAGATATTGATTTGTTCGGATGTTTCAATGCCTCATGATACAATAAAACCACAAAATTTTCTTAACAGTTTAAAAAAAACAAAAACAAAAACAGAAAACAAAAAACAGAAACACAGAAATCCATTTCAAAGTTAAGCCTGGAGTGCCCTCTGCTGGTCAGACAAATTAAAACTCCTTATAACCCCATATGCCTTGCTCCTCATATATATGTTGAAATTGTTTTTGTTTCATATTATTTGGACCACACCAATTACTGATACCCCTCATAACTGCAATCATATGATCAAGAATCGATTTTTTTATAGTAGCCTCTTAAAAGCGATTGCTTCGTGAATGAATAGCTTGTGTAATTTAAAAAGTGTTCTCAAAGGATAGGTAAATAGGCAGAATAAAAGACGATGATAGATGATAGATGATAGATAGAGAATAGATGATAGATAAATAGATAGATGATAGATCGACGATAGACAGATGACAGATAGATAATAGATGATAGATGAATTGATCGATGATAGATAATAGATTATAGATAGATGATAGATAGATAGATAGATAGATAGATAGATAGATAGATAGATAGATAGATAGATGATAGACTGACAGAAATGCTGGAGTGATGCTTGTACACACCAAGGAACACGAGATATTGCCAACAAAGCCCCCAGACACCAGGAGAGAGGCATAAAATATTCTTCCTAACAGCCTGTAAGGGAACCCACCTGCTTACACCTTGACCTCAAATTTCTAGGCTCCAGAATTACAAGAGGGGACACATTTCTGTTGTTCTAAGCCACCTAGTGTGTGGTAGTTTCAAAAGACAGAGGAACAGATACAAATGCAAAGTTAAAGAAGCAAACTTCCCAGAGCATCACGGTTGAGAAGTTAGGAAGCAAAATGTAGCAAGTGCCACCTGCAGGTGCCTGGCGTGGACTGGAGCCCCGCGGTTGCTACCCCCTGGGACACTGCCAGGTGCCTGTGCGTCATCACCACCACTGGCCCAGGACAGACTTGTGCTCCAGAGCAGGGCTCACAGGGTGGAAGGGCAGAGTTCAGATTCAGACTCAGGCCTTTCAGCTCCCGGACTCAAGCTCTGCCTCTTCCCCTGGACCGTGCCGCCCAATAGCTCTGGGCTCTGCAAACATGCATGCATGTACACACGTGCACACCGTGCACGTACCATCACAACACACACGCGCTACACCCGCAGACATGTATGTTATAAAGGAACAAACTCTTTTGTTTTGACTCTGCCTTCTTTAGTTAGAAAGATGTTGGGGGAACCACCTGTCGTCTTGTGGGGAGTAGGTGGTAGACGGTACTGACATTGGCAAGGCCAGGTTCTGGCTCTCCTCAGAGAAGACCGAGTCTTCCCCGGCTCCATTCACTGAAGGGTGAGGAGCGTAGGCTTTCCGGAACCACGTGGACAAGTTAGTCCCACCGTCCCGGGCTTTACCAGGAGCGAGACCCGGACACGTTCATGGACAGCTGTCTTGTGGGCTGCAGGGCGCCCAGCCTGACTTCCCCGGGGCTTCCTTTCGTCCTGTGACACCACCCATGGTGGAGAGGCAATCCCTGTGCCTCTTTCTACGGGTGCAGGGTAAGCGGTTAGATCCTTAATCCACTCTGGGCAGAGTCAGAGGGCAGACATGTGGACAAAATTCAGCCATCCCCCAGGGCCCCGGAGGCTGAGCCCTTGCCTGAGAACTGGAAGGGCAGCCGAGAGCACAGTGGTAGCCTCCCTATGGATCTCAGCTCAGGCCCCCCAGGCAGCTCGGTGCCCCCCGCAGCTTCCCAGCATGGCCAGACTCCCCCACTCAGCCACACTCTTCTTGGACCTCCTGGGTCCATGTTGAGGCACCATCTTGGACTGGGAAGGCTTTCACTCGGGCCCCTTCACGAACGCAGGCCAGTTGGTCCGAGGAAGAATCTCATGATCCCGCCATGCACAGGGCTGGCGGTGGGACCGCCCAGGACTCAGCCAGCCAATCACTGCGCATGTGCTTTGGGGAACGTGGAGGTGCTGGACGCCTATGCGCTCAAGTGCATATAAAGAAGATGGATAATCTGAAGAGCGCACGCCAAAGAGCTGTGCATCCGGAGCCCCACCTCAGGATGACGTGGAGGGGGGGCCCTGACTATTAAACTAAATTACAGGAAACAGGTGTTTTATTTCTCTTCTTTCTCTCCTGCTATTGAAAAGGCAGTCAGATAAGGAACAAGAAAACCAAAACATTTCTGAATGAATCATAGCAGCCACGTCTTGCGTATCCACTCTAACCCAGACACGTGGCAACTGCCTTGCACTCAGGACCTCATTTAAAGCTGAAAATCTTAATGAATTTAGACATTTGTCCAAATGAAGGAATATGTTTTTCCCTTATGTATTATTAATTATGATATTCTATTATATTTAAAGCATACATGAAAATACAATGTAATAAAAATGGAAAAAAGGAATTTCAGCAAAGTCTCTAACAAGTATGACAGCCTGAATAAGTGAGCGGTTTTTATTAAGCTTAAGGCAACCTGGGAGGGTCCTTCATGTCGCATCTGCATCCTGTGCCACCAGGGGGCACTGCTGAGCCGAGAAGGGCTTCGTGGTCCTGATGCCTCTTCCGCAGCCTCAGGCAGAAAGGAGATTACCAGGCAAGGGATTTTGTTAGGACCTTAGATCTTTGAAGGTGTCAGGTAGGTGTTTCACTGAAGCCATTTCAACAATTTTTTTTTAAAACAAGATTTCTGGACAATTTTTACTTCGATGATTTTATTCTGGGTGCTTTGCTCAAAGTCATCCTGAGAGTTACTCTCTTCCATTCCCTAGTTAGCTACTTTTTATGGAAACAAAGTCTTATCATCTTCTTTAGCTGGAACATATAGGGTCTCATCCCTACACATGGAGTTGGCTTCCCTGGGGTAGACTCTGGTTCTGGGCAAACAGTGCTGAATACAGCTGAGATCCCTGCCCTGTGAGAGCCGCAGGGTCTGGGGTCCTGGAGAGGTGCTTCCCGGAGCCTGGTCAGGGACGCAACACAGAAGGGGTGAGCCAGAGCAAAGTGGGAGAGCCCACCGAGCTTTCCTGTGACCGGGTCAGACTCTGGCCACCAGTGTCACCCCCGCGGAGTACAACAGAGTGGACTTGGGTCTTGGTAGCGGGCTACCTTCCCCAGACCTTGGGCGTTCACTGGCCTCCCTCTCTCCTGTCAGGATGTATCTTGTCAATCTATCGTCCTGCTCACTATCAAATTATCTGGAATTAACATCACAATAAGGCTAGACTGCGGGAAACACTAGAATCCAGCAAGTAGGCACACATTGTCCTGGGCTTTAACTTCAAGCTCTAAGATTGTACCTCCTGGTTTCTCTGCATCACAGGGGGCCCCACGCTCGACCCTCAGGACGGTTTTGTTATCTGGAT